GGCTGTTCGGGCTTCATTATAAATTTCTGCGAGAGGGCCAGCTACTACGTTTCCAAAGACCCTCCAGATAGAATAGCAACAATCATCCGGGCGACAGTCAAGGGTTGTAAGCCTTAAATAATGTCACCCTGTCTGGCTTCCAACAATGACTTTGGGCCACACAGAAGCCAAATCTACAAAGAGAAAAACATCACGGATACGTAGGCCCAACTTTAGGAAAGGATCTGCCACTCAGACGGCGGCGAAGAATCCCGTACTCACAAGCGACCCAACAAGGCAATTACATGAGTGTGTAGATTTAATAGTAATTGATCGCGGATGAAAAGTGGTTAACGGGGGATGATGACTATGGTAATAATAGGATGATACAAATAAGGCATTAGCGAAGCATTATCAAGAACAATTAAATAATAATTATAATGATGAAATTCTATATTAACTAATAAATTACTAAATGATGATAATGGTAATGGGTAAAGGTATATAATGCTGATAATGAAAATACTAACGGTAATAATGATAATGATAATAAGAAAATAATGCTAGTGGTAAATTATAATGGCTAATAATAATAATAGTATATATATAGCAATGATAATAATCTTATTAGCAATGAAAGCGATGAGACATAGTAAAAATGACAAGAATAGTTATGATTATAGTAATGATCATGATAATTATGATAACAAATAATGATAATGATAATAATATTATTGATTACTATTAATAATAATGATAATCAGGATGATAACGATATGAACAATACTGTCAATAACAAAAATAAAAACAATTAAAATTTTCTAAAATATTTTTTTCAGAAGCCGTAAAGACATCAGTTGAATGAGTTAAAAATCTGGCGCTTGCTTATGAGGCATTGAGGCGACAATTTAAGTAAATTTTATTAATAATAAAAAAACAAACTAAAATAGTAATTAACTTTCTTCCTAATATGTCTGTATGGGAGCACATTTCCCCATCATTGGCTATCACACCTTTAGCCCAAAATGTTTCTCGAAGTAGAATCAGAAAGGGATTTTCTTTTTTTTTTTTTTCTATTCGAATTATCAATATATTTCTCTTTTTTTTTTTTTTTTTTTTTTTTACCTTCCTTGGGGAATGAAGGGGGAAATGACAAATTGCAAAGAGAACTATGATAAGAAAGACCTTAGGAAAGATATGCCATAACCACCTCCAACAACAATAACAATAATAGTAATGATTATCTTGAAAATGTTATCGATGATAATGATAATATAGATGATAAAATAACGATAGCCATTATAAAACAAATAAAAATAATTGCAATAATAATACTATTACTACAACTACTAACCCCTAATGATGATAATGGTAATAATAATAGTAATAATAATGCTGATAATGAAAATACTAACGGTAATAATGATAATGATATTAGTAAAAATAATAATAATGATAGTGGTGATAATTATAATAATAATAATAATAATAAATTTAATAATGATAATAATATTAATAATAATAAAAGCAATTATAATAATCTTATTAGTAATAAAAGCGATAAGACATAGAAAGAATAACAATAATAGTTATGATTATAAACATTAGAATAAAAACAACAATAATAATGATGATAGTAGCATAAGAATTAATAGTTATGGTAATGATTATCATGATAATTATAAGAACAAATAATGGTAATGATAACAACGATATGAACATTAATGATAGTAACAAAAATATAAACAATTCATATATACTAACAATATACAAACAAAAATCATACTAATATAGTAATTGACTTTATTCCTAATATGTCTGTATGGGAGCACATTTTCCCATCATTGGCTATCACACCTTCAGCCCCAAAAATGTTTCTCGTAGTAGAACCAGAAAGGAATTTTCTGTTTTTTTTTTTTTTTTTTTTTTTTTTTAGCCTTTTTCTTTCTATTCGAGTTATCAATGTATTTCTCTTTTTCATCTTCCTTGGGAAATGAAGGTGGAGATGACAAATTTCAAAGAGAACTGTGATAAACAAGACCTCAGGAAAGATACCATTAACACCACCAACAACAATAAGAATAATTGTAATTATCTTGAAAATGTTAACGATGATAATGATAATATGGATGATAGAATAACGATAGCTATAATAAGAACAAATAAAAATAATTGCAATGATAATACTATTACTACAACTACTAACCCCTAATGATGAGACCTGTGTAGGTGGCTACACCTATTACTGGTCGGCCGCAGCGATGGCCACCATCTCCAGGGAGTAGCCATTGCCGTCTCCAGCAGACTCCAGCCCTCGGTAGTAGAGGTTACTCCTGTTGATGAGCGTATAATGGTATTGAGATTGAAGCTTTCTTTTGGCTTCATGTCTCTTATTGCTGTGTACGCTCCTACCGATGTTTGTAAACTTGACGTGAAGAGATGTTCTACGCCAAACTTACATCTGTGGCAGACAGATGTCCCCGACGAGATATTCGCATTGTTCTGGGCGACTTCAATGCGGTATCTGGCTGTGATCGAGCTGGCTATGAGATGTCTGTCGGTCCCCATGGTTCAGGAGCTGATGCCGGTAGCGAGAATAGCCTCCTTTTCCGGACTTTGCTAGGTCCCAGAAATTGAGGATTTCTGGCTCCTGTACCAGCGCCCAGACCCTCATCGCTGGACATGGTACAGTGATGCGGGTAACGCAGCCAAGGAGATCGACCACATACTTGTTAGCACTCGTTGGAGGATCCTTCAAAATTGCAGGGTGTACAGGAGTGCTGAGTTCTGTGGTACTGACCATAGATTGGGTTGTGGCTACCCTCCGAGTCCACTTCAAAACCCACCAGCGGTCAAATGATCATCCTAGGGTGTTTCATTTGGACAGGCTGAGGGAGGGGAGTGTGCCGCGGGTTTGCTGAGGCAATCTCTGATCGTTTCGCAGTGCTTGGCAGTCTGACAGACCCTGTTCTTCTGTGGGATACCTTTAAGCGTGAAACGCTTGATGCAGCTCAAGATACGATTGGTGTACGCCCGAGAGCAGTACAGAATTCCATCTCGCGCGGGAGACACTGGAAGCCACAGATGCATGTCGTGCGGCTCGTCTGACAGGGGATCGGGAATTGCACCGTTCTCATGTGCGCAGAACTCGGTCCCTGTTAAGAAGGGACAAGGAACAGTTTATTAGGAGTCTTGCAGAGGAGGTAGAAGGCCATTTCTTAGTAAATGACCTTCGTCCTGCATACCAAGCCCTGAGAAAGCTGAACTCGAAGCCCTTTCACAGGTGACAGCAGTTCGCTCAGTAAGTGGTCAAATCGTTTCAGATCCTGTTGCGGTGCGGGCTTGGGCTGAGTATTTTGAGCAGCTGTACCAGGTTGACCCACCAACAGTTAACTTGGATGCGGGTAGTGTCGAGATCCCACTGCCAGATCCACCTATCAGTGAGGACCCTCCCTCCCTAACTGAAGTTAGGGGGCGATTTCCAAGCTGAAGAGTGGTAAAAGCAGCTGGTATCTGCGGCATACCAGCTGAACTGTTAAAGGCTGGTGGTGAACCTATGGCACGGGGGTTACATGCTGTCCTGGCTGCATCTGGCAGTCCGGTTCCCGTTCCTCCTGACCTGTTGAGGGTGTGGTCATCCCTCTCTGGAAGGGGAAGGGGGACCGTTGGGACTGCAGCAATCACCGAGGCATCACACTGCTCAGTGTACCAGGCAAGGTTCTCGCCCACATCCTTCTGAGACGTATCAGAGACCATCTACTGAGGCACCAAAGACTGGAGCAATCCGGATTCACTCCTGGTAAGTCCACAATAGACCGTATCCTCGCGCTTCGAGTCATTGTAGAGGCGCCGTCGTGAATTCGGGCGTGGGCTACTTGCAGCCTACATCGACCTCAAGAAGGCGTTCGATACGGTGCATCGGGAGTCACTTTGGGAGATCCTGAGGCTGAGAGGAATACCAACAAGGATTATTGGACTAATAGCAAGCCTGTATACTGGTACTGAAAGTGCTGTAAAGTGTGGTGGGGGCCTGTCGAGCTTCTTTCCTGTTAGTTCAGGAGTGAGGCAAGGCTGTGTCCTTGCACCAACTCTTTTCAACACTTGCATGGACTGGATACTGGGCAGAGCTACTGTTCAAAGTCATTGTGGGGCAACGCTGGGCAATATCAAGGTTACAGACCTTGACTTTGCTGATGACGTTGCCATTCTATCTGAGTCTTTGGAAACCCTAGTGGCGCTCTCGATGCATTTAGCAATGAAGCAAAGCCCCTGGGTCTAGAGGTCTCCTGGACCAAGACCAAGGTCCAGGAATTTGGGGACTTGATAGGAGAACTGTTCAGTCGGTACGTGCTTGCGGCGAGGACATTGAAGTCACAGAGAGCTTTACATACCTTGGTAGTGTAGTTCATAACTCTGGGCTGTCAGACCATGAAGTCAGCAGACGGATTGGCCTGGCAGCAGGGGTCATGAACTCTCTCAACAAGAAGTATTTGGAGATGTCGGTACCTGTGCAGAAGGACCAAGCTTCGGTTTTCAAGGCCCTGATAATGCCAGTTTTG